AGGAATGGTGGACAAAGCCCCCGTCCCATACAGGGACCCATCTTCAGGGCTATACAAAGGGGATAGGAAGTAGACCTCTCGGGCCTGCTCCCATCCCTCGCCCAGCACCGTGTTTAAGAGCATTCGCATTATTACAGAGACCAGTTAAAGTCCTACTGGCACATGGGGCCCAAGTCTCCCATCATCCCTATGGAGTAGAGATTTTTGTTTTTATTTTTTAAATTCCTTCTCCTGGGAGTCAGAGATCACTGGTTGGTCACATTCTCCTTTTGCTGAGGGCCAGGGGATGAACTCAAGGTGGAGTCTTGACTTCCTGATCACCCCAGGCTTGCTGGAGGAAGGAACCAGGAGCAGCCGTCCAATGCCAGTTGTGGGGCCGGCCAGTGGATGTGAGCATTTACACATGGGCCGATGCTCCGGTGGCTCAGCGGGGGAAACACTGTGTGTGTTGTCCAGGGCCTGAGGGGCAGCTGCCCCAGGCGGCCCATGGTGGAGGTCCCCTCCCACGGCTATTGTCTAGAGACGAGGTTTCCATCAGAGACAGGGTAGCTCCCAGCAGCGTTGAGTGGCACAGGGCTTGGGGGTGTGAGCAGGTGCAGAAGGAGGGCCATGCCTGGTGACAGCCCTGACTTTGGAGTCAGGCAGGCCTGGGGCCCGATCCTGGCCTATCGCTTAGTGATAAGCTGACCTTGGGCCAGCCCGACTCCCTGAGCTGTTTACTTCGTCTGTAACCAGGACTAGTAATCTGAGGAGGAGATAAGCGGAAACAGGAGAGCCTTCAACAGCTCCTGGAACGTGGCCGTTACACAGGCAGCGGCCGCCCCTCCCACGTTGGCCTTGGCACATGCAGCACCAACCGTGCAGAGAGCTGACAGCCATGAGCCATGACCAAGGGGCCGATAGCTGTCGTGAGCTCATCTTAAGGAGAAAAGAGGGTCTGAGCCAGGGCCAGGAGACAGTACTGCCCTGAGAGGGACAGCCCCACCATGAGACCGAGGACTTTCCTGAGCCTTGGAGCCTGCCAGGGGCCTTGGCATTGTGACATCTCCCTGGTCTGCCTGGTCTCCCTCCCTGCATGTTCATATCCCAAGTCTTCATGGCATTCCCATAATTCCATACAACCAACAGCTCACTCGTGTCTGGCTCTTTGGGGTTTACAATCAACTTGCACGTCCATGGCCTCCTAAGGTCCTCATTATATTGCCTACATGTTGGTACTTTTTTTTTTTAAAGAAGTATTTCATTTTATTCATTATTATTATTAATTTTTAATTTGCTATGTGCACTCATAAGAGACCGAGAGAGAGAGAAAGTGAGAAAGTTCAGGTCTAAGACTCGAACTGTAGTCAGCCATAAGGGAGTCCAGTGCCTTAACCTCCATACCACCTGCTGGCCCCTAGATGTTGGTACTTCTTTTCTTTTTTCTTTTTATAGAGAGGTTTTTGCTATAGGGTGCATGTGCTTGCTGGAGAGACAGAGAGATAGAAAGTGAGAAATCACTCCCCCAGGGGAGATGGCCATGCCATAATCCCTTTTCCATTCTCCTTTCAGGATTTTGGGCACACATGCATTCGTGCCCAGCGTGGGTTTCAAGCCAACCAGTCCAGTTCAGGACTTGAACCTTGGTGGGCCATGTGGGAGTCCAGCAACGTAATCATTACACCATCTGCTACGCCCCAGATGTTGGTACTTATTCTTTTTTAAAAATTTTTGGAGAGGTTTTTGCTATAGGGCACGTGTGCTGGCCAGAAAGACAGAGAAAGACAGAGACAGAACACGAGAAATCACCCCCCGGGGGGGATGACCACGTGGCAATCCCTTCTCCTCCATTCTCCTCTCGCGATCTTAGGCACACAAGCACACGCGTCCTGCATGAGTTTAAGCCACTGGGCCTGGGACTCAAACTGCAATTGACTACATGGAAGTCCAGCAATATAGCCATTATGCCAATTGCTGGTCCCACTTTTTCCTTTTTTTTAGAGAGATTTTTGCTGTAGGGTAGGGTGCATGCATTCACCAGAGAGACAGAAAGCAAGAAATCATTCACTCCCTTGGGGAATGACCACATTGCAATCCCTTCTCCTCCATTCTCCTCTCAGGATTCTGGTCATGCATGCACATACACCCAGCATGAGTTTTAAGCTGCCGGGTCCAGAACTTGAAGTGCAGTCGACTATGGGAGTTCAGCGAAGTAACCACTATGCCATCTGCCAGTCCCGATGCTGGTACTTTTAAAAGCCTTTTTGCTGACAAGGATCCCGGGGATCAGAGCTCAGACAGCCCAGCACCTCTGGATCAAGATTCTCCCAAACCCATGTGGGGCTGAGCCCTCGGCCTTCTTAGCCACAAGAAGAACCTCTGGCTCAGTCTTTGTGAAATGCAAGCACATTGTGTGTTGGCGACATGGCCTGAGAACTGTGACTTGGGGCCTTACAGGGCCCAGGGCCCCTCTGG